TTTAAACCCAGGTTCTCTGGGTTTCCATCCACTGCTCTTCCCACTACCCCATACTTGTTATGTGCAACCATGTGGTTGCATTCAACTTTTATTGAGATCTTCTTCAATATACTTCAGTGTCCTAGAAAAGAGCCCATGCATTTTGTAAGATTCCCCTTGCAATTTATTTTCTTTCTTTCTATTCATTCATTATGATATGGTGGGCATTTTATTTCTTTTCATTTATTTCATGTTTTTCCCAAAGGTTCTCCTAAGGGCAACTTTAACATCATTGTTCACCAAACTGTAGATAAAGGGGTTCAATAGGGGACTGAGGAAGTTACAAAACATCTCAATGATTTTGCTCTGTTCCACTGACTGTTTGGTGGCAGACCTCACATACTTGCAGAAGAGGGTGTCGTAAAACATGGTGACTGCTGTCAAGTGGGAGCCACAAGTGGAGGAGGCTTTGTGTTGCCCCTCGCTGGAGAGGATCATGGGAGAGCTGCGAAGATGAAAATGTATGAGACGAGAATGATCAAGAGGGAGCTTGAGAGGTTCATGCCTGCAGAGATAAGCATGGCTGTCTGCTTGACACAGGTGTTAGAACAGCTCACTACCAGCAAAGGGGGGTCAGTACAGTAGAAATGGTTGATGATGTCAGGGCCACAGAAGGTCAGGCAAGATGTCAAGGTGACTTGTGCTGTCCCTACAAAGGAATCATGAACATAAGGAATGTTGACCAACCAGAAGCGAGTGCTCATAGATATCTTGTTGCTATAAAGTAGGGGGCTGCAGATAGCCATGTAGTTGTCATAGGTGATCACAGCCAACATGAAGTGCTCAGTAATGACCACAGCAATGAATAAATGGTGCTGGGTCAAGCAAGTAACATAGGAAATGATTCTCTTCTCAGATAAGAAGTGAGCCAGCATGAGAGAGATAACATTAGTGGAATAACAGACATCCACAAAGGCAAGGTGGCTAAGGAAGAAGTACATGGGCATGTACAGGTGAGAGCTAACTCTCATCAATGTAATCATTCCAAGATTTCCTATCAAGGTAATGAGGTAGACAACCAGAAACACCACGAAGAGGATGAGTTGCAACTCTGGCCCACAGTCAGGCCCAGAAGGATGAATTCGATCACTTGGCTGCCATTTTGAATATCTGTCGTATTGACACTGGTTTTTTTGTTAGTTTTTTTGTGATGGAGGATCATGAGGTAGTGATCAGCTTTATAGACATCTGAGGTCAGCTTGGTCCATTCATACTGGCACTGAAGGACTGTTATTTGATCATGATGATAAGATAACAGAAAACCATCTGAGTTGCTAGATTGAGATAAAGCTGTACATCTACTTAAATATCCAGGTACTTTCAGAGCTATGACTGAGAATTTGCACACCTAGAGCAGGCTGTAAAAAATATAATGTAGACTAAGCAGCATGAATTACACCCTCAAATCAGCTGTATTTATTTATTTTAGACAAAGCAAGTAGGAGAAATTTCTAATCTGAAGACAGAAGGCTCTGGAAAACCCAAGATATTTCCCTTTGAGAAAGAAGATAAAAATACTAGAATACTGGGAAATTTTCCAGTGGGTTACAGAACAGTATCAGGACCCAACTGGACTGGAACTCACCTGGAATGAAGCTTGGGATTGATGTAGCCCATCTTCCAGTGGCTTCCTGTTTTGATGATAGGGACTCGAGTAGTGATATTGTGATTTTTCTTGTTTCAGGGAATTTACTGGTAAGAAAACTTCTACCAATGTAAATTTTCACATTCTCTGAAACTGATTGTCCAAGAGACTTGCTTAGAGCACAAAAAGGTTGCATAACTGGCCCAGGGTCATATAACCCAACTTCTTCAGACCTTATACTCATGCCTTCTTTCCCCAGGAAACTCATCCTTGCAAAATCTCATTATCCTGCAAAACAGAATCTTCCTGGTACTCGCATTTCATCAAAACCATCTTCTCCCCATTTTTTACCAGTACACCCCTTTTTGGACTTCTTTGTACCTCTCCATCATGCCCTCATTCAAAGTATCTACCTCTCCTCCCACTTTTCAGCTTCCTTTTGCATGATGTCTTCTTCCATTAGATTGTGAGCTCCTTGATGGCAGAGACTGCCTTGGTTTATATTTGTATTTTTATTCCCAGCAAAGTGGCTGGCACATAGTCGGTGCTAAATAAATATTTCTTGACAGACTGAGTGACTATTATGTTAGATGTGAGCCCAGAACCCAGGTTTTGCTAATTCTTAGACAAAATTTCTATCCACTATACCATGTGCTTCTTCCCAGTAGACAATCCTTAACTGATTGGTGTTGCTAACTAAAGAAAGCTAGATGGCACAGTGGATAGTGTCAGGCCTGGAGTAAGGAAGACTTATCTTCCTGAGTTCAAATCTGGCCTCAGACACTTACTAGCTGCGTGATCCTGGACAACTCATTTAACCCTGCTGCCTCAGTTCCTCATCTATAAAATGAACTAGAGAACTAAATGGCAAACTACTCCAGTATCTTTGTCATTATACCAAATGGGGTCATGAAAGGTTGGATGTGACTGAAATGACTCTTCAATAATAGGGAAGGTGAAGTATTTCATCAGATTAAGTCATAGATTTAGGTGAAGAAGCAACCTTTGAGACCACTAAGTCCAACCTGTCTCATTTTACCAAAAAAAAACCCCAAAAACAACAGAATTAAAGCCCAAAGAGACTGACTTGTCAAAGGTCACAAAGCTAGTAGAAAATAGAGCAAGGATTTGAATTCAGATTCTCTGACTCCAAATCCAGCACACACACTTGCTTCTGTACTATCGTTCCTCTTTAATTATTTGTCTTTTTTATTTCTGGCACATAACACTTAATAGATACTTAATCTGTTTACTGATTTGCATTTATTTTTAGTTAAATACTAGTGAAGTATATAATTGTGAGGGGTCTGTGATGTGTTGATTTCATCAATTTGTGGGATTCCCCAGGGAGGAAACTAGCTCTGCCAATGCAGACTGGTACTAAGAGATAGCGTGGGAAAAATGGATAGTCAGCAGACTTTGAAGTTATGAAGCCCACTGTTCAAATTTGTGCCTTTGACACATGTTGACTGTGTGACCCTGGGTAAATAACTTCACTTAACCTCTCAACATCTCCAAGAACATCTGTAAGACTATTAGTTGGAGAGAAGTGGATGATGTGCCAATCAGGAATTCAATAAAAGGCAAGCTCACCATGAACTTATATGATAAGAGAAGGCTTCATGTTAGATGGGGGCAGGGAGACCCTACCTGGGCTTTACAGAATTTTGATTAATGAAAACTGATAATTGGAGGAAGCCTGGAGAAGATGGGGATGTAATAGTTATTTTCAGGTGTTTGAAGGGCTATTATGTGGGAGGAAAGGGATGTTGAGACATAAGACTTGTTTTTCATGGTCCCAGAGGGCAGAACTGGGAACTATATATGAAGTTCGAAAACAGGAAGCCTATGCATGACATAGGGAAGACTTTCCTAACTATTACAGTTGTCCAACAATAGAACAAGTTTCCTCAGAAGGCAGTGGTTTCATCCTCACTTAATGTCTTCAAGAAAAAAATGACTGGCCATTTATCAGGGATGTTGCTGAGGGATTTCGTGTTCATATATGGGTTGGATAAGATCTCTTCAGGGATCTATTCCAACTCTATGGATTGTGTCTGTTACTGCATGTTCAGGGTCATTTTATGGATAGAGAGGTTTGAGAAAAGATGTGGGGGCTAGAAGGCACATAGTATTTCAGAGAACTGCAAGAAAGACAGTTTTGCTGGAGCAATGGGTTCCTCTTTAATAGGACTCTTTTAATTAACATATTGACATCTACTTGTAGATCTGAGAGCGTTCTTCTTTCGCAGTGGAATGAGATGGAGTGCAGCTAGCATCATTCACCCTACCCACTCCACTGAAGGACTGGGTGGTCAAAGAGAGAATATTGACAATGAGGATCTCCCAAGGAAAAATCAGAAATG